TGACATCAAAGGGGAACTCATTACTCGCTGGTCTTTGTTTATTAAAACAAAATTATTTAAACTTTAACTCTTCTTCATCTCTCTTTGATAGTGACTAAAAATAACCTAAAGAAATATCAAATTATTCTCTAGTCTGTTTTGTTAGATTTTGTAACAACACTGTTTACATGCCAACATTCTCCTTTGACATCACTTCCTGTTTCTTCACATGTAAATATCTCAACAACCGTTCATCTCAGTGACGTGAAATTTGTTTTGCAATATGTTATAAATGTTATCTTTCCAAAAATGCATTCATGTTTATTACAAAAATTTGATGTCACAGGCACTTTAACGTTAATCAATARCATTTATAGACCTCAGTTAGTGCTTTTAAATTTAGCCTATAAATTTAGCAAGTGCTAATCCACTAATAAATTTTAAAATAAACAAAATCCCTAAAGCACTAATGAGGAAATTAGTTCCCGTATTAGTGCTTTAGGGGTACTGTGCCCACCACTGTTAGTGATCAATTATAAAAAGTACAAACAATATATGAGAAACTATTGTTTAAGTTAAGTGAAAACAAGTAAAAGTGAATTAAATCAAAAAACGCACCTTACAGATTGTCACCTCATCTCACATGCTTGCTGCGTGTGAGTGAAAATAGGGCCCCCCAAGGTAAAAGCCCATTACAAAACAGGTTTTTGTTCTTTCATGTGTAACCCACAGGGGCTGGTAGATGAAAAACATAATTCTAATGCATCGAATCTACAGAGTCCCTGCAACACATCTCTGTCGCTTTTTCTCACAAACCATATCCGCTCACCTGGCCCCGTTCTCTATCTCACACAAACACACAACACACTCAGTCTAACACCGCAGAGACTCCAGCCCCAGATCACATTACACAGCTGTGTCAAACTCAACTCCATCAATTATACATATTTGACCACCAGCGTCCTTCTTGGCAATACGCTTGTGTTTGTGTGTGTTGCAGCTACAGATCAATAGTTCCTCTGGGACTTACCCATTCCAGACTCATTCTACTTTATCCAGYTCATATTTCTTCCTCCTCATTTGGATTTTTGGCCATACTGTATTCTTCGATGCCACTTAAACACCAATGAGGAAGACCRAGTTTTCGTTTTGGAAGAGGAGGTTACTTTGGATTTTCTTCCAGCTTTGCAGTCCTGCCTGCCAGATTTAACACGACTGAAAACCTGAATACTGCAGATATAAATTTAGGTTCAGAGATTAGAATTTATAATCTCCTGTTTGGTTAATGTTATTTATTCTTTTATTTTTGGTCATCAAACGCCTCCATCCTCTCCATCTCTTTTCCTTCCACAAAGAAATACAGAGAAAAAAAAATCTATTCTCTACGCCTTCACTGAATAAGGTTTCCAATGTTCTTTAAAAGAAAAAATACCAAATCCTATACWAAAACAAAACTTCCTGGGTCATTCCACACCAGATAGCCCAGTGGGCTTTTAACCCAACCATCTTTGATTTTGATKAAACTTGGCATTCATAATCGTTAATTATGATCCCACTGCACAGTATTTCAAATTTCAGGTCAATCAGACCAGTGGTTCCAGMMAAATGGGCCCCTAAATTTATTTGTTTTTCAGCAAAAATGGGCATGTTTTCTTCTTTTTAACCCCAGCTATCTCAGGAACTACCAGATCAATTTTCACAAACCTGGTGTCATTGGAAAGGCAATTTTAAAAGGATTCCAAATCTGTCTTTCCTCAAATCAACCTAATATATCCAGTTTAATACCAAGTCACTCTGAGAACGATTCTTGGGTTAATCTACTGCCAATATGAGTTTGATCCAAAGACTTGCATCATGTAAATATGTACATTTTGTAATGCATTTGATGGTTCATTTCATTCAATATGTATTCTTAACCAAAACTGTTCCTAA